GAGAGAGAGAGAGAGAGAGATAAGAGAGAGAGAGAGAGAGAGAGAGAGAGAGAGAGAGAGATGAAGAGAGAGAAGAGAGAGAGAGAGAGAGAGATGAAGAGAGAGAGAGAGAGAGAGAGAGATGAAGAGAGAGAGAGAGAGAGAGTTTACTTACTCGGTACGTTTATCTGAGTTGTATTCTTACCTTCAATTGAATCTATTGGCAGAGACCTGTACATAACGTTAATGATCAATGCGAGAGGTGCATAAACCCTTTTATTCATGCACCCATGCCTGTTTTTCCATCGATTAATTTTCATATACCTTTGACTACATGTTGAAACGTTAGGGCAAAAAACTAGCCTTCATATTCTATTGTCATGGGAGATACTATATAATTATATTCTTGACAATCTAAATAACATTATTGAATTGAGCAATTGTTTTCCTCCATGGAAACGAAATAAATACCCCCCCCCCCCCATGGTACATATTTGAAACCTGTTGGCCTTTAATAACCACTGCTGTTTTCTTTATTTATATATTCATCGGTGCAGATCAATTTAATTAAATTTTGAATTTTCTCTCTCTCTCTCTCTCTCTCTCTCTCTCTCTCTCTCTCTCTCTCTCTCTCTGTGTTGTGTGTTTACAAGTAGGCGGTTAATTTTCGTGTGTTTATCTTGAATAATATGACGCAGGTGATGGGCAGAAGAGAGTTAGAAAAACAACAAGACTTGAATAAGAGTAAGTAAAAAACGAATAGAATTTTAATTAATATGTGTTAAAACACATAACAACTTTTTGAGTAATTATTTTAATTACATATGAAAAACTTTACATTAAATCAAGCAGTGGATACGAGTAAGACTTTGATTACAGTCATTCAGATTCTGACACTCTTTTTATTAGCACACTAGTATCGTTCACAAAATATGACACGCCGAAAACGGCAATTATGATCTTTTATATTCTGGCTAGAGGAGAAGCAATACCACTGCCAAGGGACTGATTTACAAAAAAATTTAAAAATCTTGATTATTAATTGATATCATGAATCATATCAGCATGCAGAAATGACACAGGAGTATTGAACTCCGTACATGCACGTACATTGTGCTATGGTATAACCGACACGTTTGCCTCTCCACAAATAAACAGTTGGCCTTTCTCGTCCCATAATCGAGCACGAACGAAGTAATCGCCCTGAAAAAAGAGCATAACGTTTAAGGCATTCTTATGTCGCCTCCCTCATCTTTATCACCCCATTACGGTTATTTCTAAATGCATTTACATCGTTTAAACGTTTTGAAATAAAATTTTGCTGGACATACTAAAAATTTGCTGCTTTTCATTCAAAATCGCTAGATATACCTCTTTTAACAGACGTACCTAGTTTGATATGAAACGTACCTAAGATCTAATATTGTGTTGATAATGGGTACAATTGATAATTAAAACACAAATTCTACATGATAACCGAAAAACGTTCATTGCAAAGGAACAAAACCAAATAAATGCATTGTGTCTAGAAATTACATGCATAATGATAAATTGACAGACGGATAGGCTTAGATAGATAGATTGATAGATGACGTTTTCATTGTAACGTTACTGTGGCAAGTTAACTTACCGGTGAAACGCCATAGGAAGCCAAATTGGCAATCGCCCAAGCGGTTTCATCATACGTTTCTGGGAACAGAAAAGGTAAATGTAAGAAAACAGTCGACTCAGCATAACTTTGGCACATTTAAGCCATAATTTTTAATTGGTTCTCATTACCCAAAGATTCGAGTTCGGTAGAACATTTACTAATTTAGTTAAATAAACTCAATCCATATGATTTTTTCAAGACAATTAAGATCACGCACAGGGAATGCACTGGTACAATGTATATCTACTCAAAACTTTCACAAAATTCTAAAAAAAAAAAAAAAAAAAAAACAATAATGCGCTTACTGCCTGCTTGCAAAGGACAAAATTTAGCAAGAAACGGTCCCAGAGTTTTACAGGTGAAATTGTCCTCGTAAGTAATTTGGGGATACTCCATAGGAGGTATATAAACGTCGAGGCTATAATGACCAGCTGATATGCCAACGTCTAAAACAGAGAAATGATAGGAAATATAAAACTATGGCCTATTATTTTGAGTTCCACAGAAAGTTAATTGACTTAGAAGAACTTCTAAATCAGGAAGTTGTTGATGATTGGATTGACCAGGGAATTATATCGGATATAATTCCCTGGATTGACAAAGACTTGTGTGTGTGTGTGGTGGGGGGGTGGGGGGGGGGGGGTGTCTGTCTGTCTGTCTGACTGTCTGTCTATCAATATATCTTCGGTATCTATTTACGTTTTCTGTGTGAATGTAAAAATAAAAACGTGCAAAATGTGTTATTAAGTTGCTATGTGACTCCATTCTCATAGACGCACCATCGGTCTACATGGATCGACCCAACTCTGAAAGGACTTTCGCTTAGTGCAATCAGCTGAACTAAATGACACGCCTCCTTTTGTTTCCGACGAACTCGTATAGTCAACAGCTTTTCTGTATTCTACATAACACCAGGAGGGGGCATGTTAATCTGTTAAACTGTGTGCATTCAGCTAGAGTCCCCGTGAAGTTGGGTCGATCTACGTAGTCCGAAGATGTCTTTGGGAATGAGGCCTGTGAGTGCGTCTGGCAAATGTCAGAATATTATGTTAACGCACTTTGCAATATACTAAGAAAACACACACTCGTCCACTTCAAGCCTTTGTCGCATAATACCTTCTGTTGTTTTTTTTCTCGTTGATCACTTGTACCCTCCCTCATCATTCATTGCTCTCTCACACACACCCTCTCCCTCCTTCCCGTATTTCCATCCCCCATCACTCACCTGGGGTAATGGTCATGTGGAACGTTACGTTGTCGCCATCACGCACTTTACTGGGAGAAAACCAAGCGTAGAATTTCTGCCCTGAACAAACAAAGATGAAAAACTTCAGCAATCTACTTATAGATAAGATTTCGCAATTTAAACGATTATCTTATCTTGCGTCTAATCCTTTTCCTTTCCGTATAATTTAATGCACGTTTCATCAAGTTTTCATGTCAGGGATGGTCCACAATTCCTACCCCAACCCTATATCATAGTAATTTTAGTTGAAATTGAAGAAGCTAAAATGTTTCATTCATCACCTCCACAACTTTTTACAATTCCTTTGTCGCCATTTTCAGTTTTGCTGGGCTCAAATCGCCGAGATTTTCCCGTGGCTGCAGCCACTAAGCACAACCCCACTACGGCAATCACAGGGCTCAACATGATCCGGCCTTGGGTGTTCATAGCCTGTCAACAGAATAACACATGTTCCTATCTTATTTCTTTATTTATAATGATCATTTTTTGTAATTTATGATTCAGAACTTATTCGTGTCAAACAAACAGTTTGTTATCGCCACTACTTCCCTCTTGATTATTTTATATATATGTACATGCAACTGAATGAAAGTTTATATTTCTAGATAGACATGTAGTTGGTAAAAATCATTTTATTTGGTTGCTTTATAATTCATATATCAGATTTTTTCTCTTTTTGTCACGAGGTCAGGGAGTGATAGGCGATCTTCCCTGAAAATCTGCTTTATTTCAAAAGTGGGGTACTGCATTTGCATGTTGATGAAACTTGGCCCAAAAGAGCAACCCAGGCAGTACTACTAAATGAAGGTTCGGAAAAAGACGTCCTTTTAGCAGCACGATAGTACCGCTGCTTCTGCCTCGCCAATTTTATAATAATACTCACCTTTTTTTAGACGTGTCTTTCCGTATTTTTACTGTAAAACTATGATCTTGAATCCTTTCTAAGTCTCTCAAAGCTTCAGGTTATCTGCCAAGCAAGCACAAACGCAAGTAAAACCGATGAATAATCCTTCTAACTTATGACTTCCTCTTTCTATGAACACATGTCATGTGGATTTTTATCATGTTTCATGATATACTCCGTACATAAGAAAAGAAAAGTCTTCCTGAATGTCTCAAGTCGTCTGGCGGCGAAGTCCAAAATGTTTCCGAAATTGTGCTAAAGTTGATTAAAGCATGAAACTTTCCATAATGAAAAATCATAGGATGTTTGTCAATTTTGGATAGGGAGGCAACAACAAAATTAACTGGCACCCAGTTGAGCAGCTTTTGTTAAATTATGATGACTCAGTGTTTTTATTCGCACAAAAATCTCACCGAAGCAAGAACTTACACTTGATTAATTATACATATACTGATTTTGCTACTCTTCTTTACTGTCTGCTACCAGAATACGTTTTGGCGGCCATTTTGATATTTCAAACGTGTATAATCAGCAAGTGAGCTAAAAAGCAAAGCAAAGACATTAAAAGATTTAAAAAATGACATAGTTTTGTGAAATAGTATTTGGTAACAGTTCTATCAATCTGCATAAAAGTTTGTTGATATTGGGCCGCTGAGCCAGTTTTAATGCATTTTTATTATGCTTTGCTACACTGAAGCATGTGAATATAATTGGTTGTAATTCCATGACTGAAGCAAATCGACCCTTTATAGATACAAAAAGTGATTTTGTTAGGTGAGACAGCCAATTGAGTGCACCCTTATTTCTGTATTGGTGTGTTTACGATGAATCTGTTGTACTACCTAGTGTGCACCACATTCACGGGGGCTCTTGTTGAATGCAATCAGGTTAACAGGCTTACACGCCTCCTCTTGTTTCCAACGTAGGCCTACTCGTATGGTCACCGGATTTTCTGTATTGTAGTAAACAGGAGGATGTCTGTTATTTTCGATAAAATATTAGGTGTACGTTTGTTTTCCTATGGTATGATCGACACGTTCACCTCTCCACAAATAAGTAGTGGGCCTTTCTTGTTTCATTGTGAAATTAACCTATCGAATTAAAATATATGTGACTTTGACCTTTTTCATATTTTCCTGATACTGAAACAGTCTCTACACACGTTGACTCATAAAGAAATTTAACTTACATTCAGTCACTCCCTATTCATTTACCAGTACTTATTTGACTTACCTGCAATTAGTGAAAGTTCAAGCCATAAACCTTACAACAGTACTGAATAACAGCAGATCTACAAAGAAATGACATTCATTAAACCTAAAAAAAGTAACCCGTTTTCGAAAATATATGTATGGCTTGCAAGGTTACACAAGTAGGCTGTTAATATTTGTATGTTTATCATAAATTATATGATGCAGTTCATGGGCAGAAGAAAGTAAGAAAAAGAATAACACTTGAATAAGGGTGAGAAGAATGCGGTCGGAATTAACACATACAACTTTTTGAGTGATATTTTTATTACATATATAACAAACTTAACATCATTTCAAGCAGTGGATATGAGTAAGATTTCAAACACAGACATTCAGATTCTGACAGTCAGTGTCTCTTTTTATCAACACACTAGTATCGTTCACAAAATATAAATATGACACGGCAAAGAAGGGCATCTCATGATCTTTTATAATTATATTCTGGCTAGAGGAGAAGCAAAATCGCTACCAGTGGACTGATACACGGGGTGATTTTAAATAAGTTTTAATTCATTGATAGCGTGAATTATCTCAGCATGCAGAAAGTACTCAGGAATAATGAAATATGTACACATGTACATTGTGCTATGGTATGATCGACACATTCGCCTCTGCACAAATAAATAGTTGGCCTTTCTCGTTCCAGAATCGAGCACGAACAAAGTAATCGCCCTGAAAAAAAGAGCATAACGTTAAAGGCAATCCTATTGTGACAAAGTTGCCGTCTTAATCTTTTGCTGTTACTCTAGGTAGTAAATACAACTCTTTTATACTCTTCCAGATTTTTATTATATACTTTCCAGTTGGTACCCGGATCACTTAATTTCCATTTTTATCTTTACCTCATTCAATCTCTTGCGGCCTTCTTTCGATGAACTTTTAAGAATCATAAGAGCATGTCAATCAACTCAGTTACTCTACAAAACACTTCCCGCTCCTTATTAACTCTTGGCTGTCAATTACTAACATTACACTGTGCCGCCTCCCTCATTTTTATCACCCCATTATGGTTATTTCTAAATGCATTTGGTGAAACATGTTTTGAAATAAAACTTTCCTGGACAAACTAAAAATTTGCTGCTTTTCATTCATAACACATGTACCTGGTACCTGACGCGTGTACTTGTGATCTAGCACTGTGTTGACAAGGGGCACAATTGATAATCAAAACCCAAATTCTACATGATTACCGAAAAATGTTCATTGCAAAAGGAACAAAACCAAACAAATGCATTAATTGTGTCTAGAAATTACATGCATAATGATAAAGTGACAGACGGATAGGCTTAGATAGACAGATAGATGACATTTTCATATTGACGTTCAACTTACCGTTGAAATGCCATAGGAAGCCAAATTGGCAATCACCCAAGAGGTTTTATCATACGTTCCTGGAAATAGAAATGGTAAATGTAAGAAAACAGTCGACTCCACATAACCCTGATACTTTCAAGCCAGATAATTGGTTCTTATTACCCGAGGATTCGAGTTCGGTAGAGCAACCACTAATTGAGCCAAATAAAACTCAATCCATAGGATTTGTTCAAGACGATTAAGATCACTTACTCAGACCAACGCACGGGAAATGTACTAGTATATCTCCTCTGAAAATCCATATCAAATCACCGTAAAGATATTTGAGAGATAAATAAGTTATCATAACGTTGCGTCTATGAAGATTGACTAAAACGTTGTAACATCCTATCAAACTTTATTACGTGACGCATCATTATGATAATTTATTTATTAGTTTATCTACGCAAAACGTCAGCAAACTTAAAAAAAAACACAATGCACCATGACTTACTGCCTGCCTGCAAAGGACAAAATTTAGCAAGAGACGGTTTGAGAGAATGGCAGTTGGCCCTGTCCTCGTAACCAATCAGAGGATACTTTGATTTTGTTTCTGGTAAATAAATGTCGAGGCTATAACGACCAGCTGATAAGCCAATATCTGAAACAGAGAAATAATAGGAAATATACAATTACGGCCTATTATTTTGAGTTGCACAGAAAGTTCAAGTTGGTTGACTTTTTCTAAATCAGAACGTTGTTGATGATTGGATTAAACTTAACAAAGACGCGCGCGTCTGTCTGTCTACGTTTTCTGTGTGAATGCAAAATAAGAATGTGTAAAATATCTTATAAAGTTGCTATATGACCCCATGTCCATAGACACACCATCAGTCTACGTGGATCTACCCAACTCTGCGGGAACTGAGTGGCACGCCTCCTATTGTTTCCTGCGTATTCGTATAATCACCAGCGTTTTCTGTATTCTACAGAACGCCAGGAGGATCCGTGTAAATCTGTCCAACTGTTTGCATTCAGCGAGAGTCCTCGCGGAGTTGGGCCGATCCACGTAAACCGATGGTGTCGATGGGAATTGGGCCTATGTGTGCGTCCGGAACATTACATTCACATTACATTCACGAACATTACATTACATTCACGCACTTTGCGTTACACTAAGGCAACACGCACTCGCTTACTTTTAGCCTTTGTCACATAATACCTCCTCTCTCACACCCCCAACCTCCCTCTCTCCCTCCCTCCCTCCCGCATTTCAATTCCTCGCCACTCACCTGGCGTGATAGTCATGTGGAACGTTACGTTGTCACCATCACGCACTCTAGTGGGAGAAAACCATGCAGAAAATTTCTGGCCTGAAAAAAAAAAAAGAAAAATAAAAACTTCCGCAATCTACCTACAAATAAGGATTCGCTAGTAAAACGATTATCTAACCTTTCTTCCTGGTGCCGTAAAATTTAATGCGCATTTCGTCAATTTTCAGGTCACGAGTGGTCCACAGTTTCTAACCCCAACCCCAATAAGATTGTATATAATAATGATTTTAGTAGAAATTGAAGAAGCTAAAATGTTTCATTCATTACCTCCACAACTTGATACAACTCCCCTGTTGCCAGTTTCAGTTTTGCTGGGCTCAAATCGCCGGGATTCTCCCGCGGCTGCAGCCACTAAGCACAACCCCACTACAGCAAAGCTCAACATGATCCGCCCTTTGGTGTTCATTGCCTGTCAACAGAATAATACACACGTTCCTATTTTATTTATTTTTCTACAATTTATTATATACTCCAAACTTATTCATGTCACATAAATACCAGCACTGCCATGGCCATGTGTTAACCCCCCCTTTATTTGTCCGCTATCAGCTCTCTCTCTCTCTCTCTCTCTCTCTCTCTCTCTCTCTCTCTCTATATATATATATATATATATATATATATATATATATATTTATTTATTTATTTATATATATATGCTGATGAAGGCATTGTCACACCTAGCGTATAGTACTCACGTATGATAAAAAAAAACTGTACGTAGACAATTGCAACAGATTCGTTAGACTTACATCGTATACGCAGGCAAACGTTTGTGTGCCATCGCATACTCGGATGGGATGTTTTGAACATGTTCAAAAACTATTTCGTACGCTCCTTGTATCTTCGATCGTTTATTGAATACATTAGAAACAGGGTGACTTCATAAGTTCAAATTGTGTGTGTACATGTGTAACAGAGGTCACACGTTTTTATGTTAGGTTTGACAGAACCTTGAGCGACGGGACAGCAGATACANTGTAAGGCGCATTGAGATTTTTAATGGAATGCGCCATAGAAAAATAAATTATTATTATTATTATTATTAACGTTAAAGACATTCTTATTGTGACGAAGATGTTGTCTTTATCTTTTGTTGATGCGCGAGGTAGTAAATATACTCTTCCAGATTATTTATTAAATACTTCCCAGTTGGTACCCGGGCCGCTTAATTTCCATTTCTATCTTTACCTCCTCTATGGACCTTCTCTCGTTTACATTACACGCAGTTTTGTAAGTATCATAAGAGCATGTAAATCAACTCAGTAACTCTACAAAACACTTTCCGCTCCTTATTCACTCATGGCTGTCGATTACTAACATGACACTGTGCCGCCTCCCTCATTTTTATCACCTCATTACGGTTATTTCTAAATGCATTTATATCGTTTAAACGTTTTGATATAAAACTTTGCTGGACATACTAAAAATTTGCTGCTTTTCATTCAAAACCGCTAGATGTACCTATTTTAACAGATGTTCCTATTTTGATATGAAACGTACCTACGTTCTAACATTGTGCTGGTAATGGGTACAATTAAAACACAAACTTTACATGATTACCGAAGAACGTTCATTGCAAAAGCAACAAAACCAAATAAATGCATTGTGTCTAGAAATTACATGCATAATCATAAATTGACAGACGGATAGGCTTAAATAGATAGATAGATTGATAGATGTTGTTTTCATTGTAACGTTACTGTGGCAAGTTAACTTACCGGTGAAACGCCATAGGAAGCCAAATTGGCAATCACCCAAGCGGTTTCATCATACGTTTCTGGGAACAGAAAAGGTAAATGTAAGAAAACAGTCGACTCAATATAACTTTGGCACATTTAAGCCATAACTTTTAATTGGTTCTCATACCCAAAGATTCGAGTTCGGTAGAACATATACTAATTTAGTTAAATTAACTCAATCCATATGATTTTTAAAGACAATTAAGATCACGCACAGGGAATGTACTGGTACAATGTATATCTACTCAAAACGTTCACAAAATTCTTTAAAAAAAAAAAAAACAAAAACAAAAACAAACAAACAAAAAAAAAAAAAAAAAAAAAAAAAAATAATGCGCGATGACTTACTGCCTGCTTGCAAAGGACAAAATTTAGCAAAAAACGGTCCCAGAGTTTTACAGGTGAAATTGTCCTCGTAAGTAATTTGGGGATACTCCATAGGTGGTATATAAACGTCGAGGCTATAATGACCAGCTGATATGCCAACGTCTAAAACAGAGAAATGATAGGAAATATAAAACTATGGCCTATTATTTTGAGTTCCACAGAAAGTTAATTGACTTCTTCTAAATCAGGAAGTTGTTGATGATTGGATTGACAAAGACGTGTGTGTGTGTGTGTGTGTGTGTGTGTGTGAATAAATATATCTATTTACGTTTTCTGTGTGAATGTAATATGAAAAACGTGCAAAATGTGTTATAAAGTTGCTATATGACCCCATGTCCATAGACACACCATCGGTCTACGTGGATCGACCTAACTCTGCAAGGACTTTCGCTTAGTGAATTAGCTGAACTAAAGAACACGCCTCATTTTTATTCAAGCATATATTCATTTTATTTTCATTATAATTTTCTTAACACTCTATGTTCAACTTCAACACACTTGGTTGCAATCTTAATAAATTATTATTATTAGCCTCCTCTTGTTTCCGACGTAATCGTATAGTCAACAGTTTTTGGGTATTCTACATAACACCAGCAGGGGGCATGTCAATCTGTTAAACTGTGTGCATTCAGCTAGAGTCCCCGTGAAGTTGGGTCGATTCACGTAGCCCGATGGTGTTCTTGGGAATGGGGCCTGTGAGTGCGTCTGGCAAATATCAGAACATTATGTTAACGCACTTTGCAATATACTAAGAAAACACACACTCGCTCACTTCAAGCCTTTGTCACAAAATACCTTCTGTTGTTTTTTTTTCTCGTTGATCACTTGTACCCACCCTCGTCATTCATTGCTCTCTCTCACACCCCCTCTCCCTTCTTCCCGTATTTCCATCCCCCACCACTCACCTGGGGTAATGGTAATGTGGAACGTTACGTTATCGCCATCACGCACTTTACTGGGAGAAAACCAAGCGTAGAATTTCTGCCCTGAACAAACAAAGATGAAAAACTTCAGCAATCTACTTATAGATAAGAATTCGCAATTTAAACGATTATCTTATCTTGCGTCTAATCCTTTTCTTTTCCGTATAATTTAATGCACGTTTCATCAAGTTTTCATGTCAGGGATGGTCCACAATTCCTACCCCAACCCTAAAAAGACTCTATATCATAGTAATTTTAGTTGAAATTGAAGAAGCTAAAATGTTTCATTCATCACCTCCACAACTTTTTACAATTCCTTTGTCGCCAGTTTCAGTTTTGCTGGGCTCAAATCGCTGAGATTTTCCCGTGGCTGCAGCCACTAAGCACAACCCCACTATGGCAATCACAGAGCTCAACATGATCCGGCCTTGGGTATTCATAGCCTGTCAACAGAATAACACATGTTCCTATCTTATTTCTTTATTTATAATAATCATTTTTTTGTAATTTATGATTCAGAACTTATTCGTGTCAAACAAACAGTTTGTTATCGCCACTACTTCCCTCTTGATTACTTTATATATATGTACATGCAACTGAATGAAAGTTTATATCTCTAGATAAACATGTAGTTGGTAAAAATCATTTTATTTGGTCGCTTTATATTTCATAAATCAGATTTTTTTCTCTTTTTGTCATAGGCGATCTTGCCTGAAAATCTGCTTTATTTAAAAAGTGGGGTACTGCATTTGCATGTTGATGAAACTTGGCCCAAAAGAGCAACCCAGGCAGTACTACTAAATCAAGGTTCGGAAAAAGACGTCCTTTTAGCAGCACGATAGTACCGCTGCTTCTGTAAATTCTGCCTCGGCAATTTTATAATAATACTCACCTTTTTTTTAGACGTGTCTTTCCGTATTTTTACTGTAAAACTATGATCTTGAATCCTTTCTAAGTCTCTCAAAGCTTCAGGTTATCTGCCAAGCAAGCACAAACGCAAGTAAAACCGATGAATAATCCTTCCAACTTATGACTTCCTCTTTCTATGAACACATGTCATGTGGATTTTTATCATGTTTCATGATATACTCCGTATATAAGAAAAGAAAAGTCATCCTGAATGGCTCAAGTCGTCTGGCGGCGAAGTCCAAAATGTTTCCGAAATTGTGCTAAAGTTGATTAAAGCATGAAACTTTCCATAATGAAAAATCATAGGATGTTTGTCAATTTTGGATAGGGAGGCAACAACAAAATTTACTGGCACTCAGTTGAGCAGTTTTTTATAAATTATGATGACTCAGCGTTTTTATGCGCACAAAAATCTCACCAAAGCAAGAACTTACACATCCGTGAGAGCAATGACTGATTATTCCAGACATGTCGATTTTGCTAGTCTTCTTCACTGTCTGCTACCAGTGTACGTTTTGACGGCCATTTTGATATTTCAAACGCGTATAATCATCAGGTGAGCTAACAAGCAGAGTGAAGACATTAGAAGATTTAAAAAATGACATTTTTTTGTGATATACAGTAGTTTTTGGTAACAGTTCTATCAGTCTGTATAAAAGCCTGTTTATATTGGGTCACTGAGCCAGTTTTAATGCATTTTTATGATGCTTTGCTGCAATGAAGCATGTGAGCATAACTGGTTATACTACCATGACTGAAGCAAATTGACCATTTATAGATACAAATAGTGATTTTGTTAGGTGAGACAGCCAAATGAGTGCACCCTTATTTCTGTATTGGTGTGTTTACGATGAATCTGTTGTACTACCTAGTGTGCACCAAATTCACGGGGGCGCTTGTTGAATGCAGTCATGTTAACAGGCTTACACGCCTCCTCTTGTTTCCAACGTATTCGTATGATCACCGGATTTTCTGTATTGTACTAAACAGGAGGATGTCTGTTATTTTCGATAAAATATTAGGTGTACGTTTGTTTTCCTATATGGTATGATCGACACGGTCAACCCTCCACAAATAAGTAGTGGGCCTTTCTTGTTTCATTGTGAAATTAACCTATCGAATTAAAATATATGTGACTTTGACCTTTTTCATATTTTCCTGACACTGAAACAGTCTCTACACACGTTGACTCATAAACAAATTTAACTTTCACTCAGTCACTCCCTATTCATTTACCAGTACTTATTTGATTTACCTGCAATTAGTGAAAGTTTGTCACAAACTTTACAACAGTACTGAATAACAGTCGATCTACAAAGAAATGACATTCATTAAACCTAAAAAAAACCAAAGTATCCCGTTTTCGAAAATATTTGTAAGGCTTCTAAGGTTACACAAGTAGGCGGTTGATATTTGTATGTTTATCATAAATGATTTGATGCAGTTCATGGACAGAAAAAAGTTAGAAAAACACTTGAATAAGGATACGTAGAAGGCAGCCGGAATTAACACATACAACTTTTTGAGTGATGTTTTTATTACATATATAACAAACTTAACATCATTTCAAGCAGTGGATACGAGTAAGATTTCAAACACAGACATTCAGATTCTGACAGTCAGTGTCTCTTTTTATCAGCACACTAGTATCGTTCACAAAATATAAATATGACACGGCAAAAAAGGGAATCTCATGATCTTTTATAATTATATTCTGGCTGGAGGAGAAGCAAAATACTACCAGTGGACTGATATACGGGGTGATTTTAAACAATTTTTAAAATCTTGATAATTCATTGATAGCGTGAATTATCTTAGCATGCAGAAAGTACTCAGGAATAATGAAATATGTACACATGTACATTGTGCTATGGTATGATCGACACATTCGCCTCTGCGCAAATAAATAGTTGGCCTCTCTCGTTCCAGAATTGAGCACGAACAAAGTAATCGCCCTGAAAAAAAAAAAGAGCGTAACGTTAAAGACATTCTTATTGTGACGAAGATGTTGTCTTCATCTTTTGTTGATGCGCGAGGTAGTAAATATACTCTTCCAGATTATTTATTAAATACTTCCCAGTTGGTACCCGGGCCGCTTAATTTCCATTTCTATCTTTACCTCCTCTATGGACCTTCTCTCGTTTACATTACACGCAGTTTTGTAAGTATCATAAGAGCATGTAAATCAACTCAGTAACTCTACAAAACACTTTCCGCTCCTTATTCACTCATGGCTGTCGATTACTAACATGACACTGTGCCGCCTCCCTCATTTTTATCACCCCATTACGGTTATTTCTAAATGCATTTATATTGCTGAAACATGTTTTGAAATAAAACCTTCCTGGACAAAATTAAAATTTGCTGCTTTTCATTCACAACACATGTACCTGGTATGAAGCGTAGGCTACTTGCGATCTAACGCTGTGCTGACAACGGGCACAATTGATAATCAAAACCCAAATTCTATATGATTACCGAAAAACGTTCATTGCAAAAGGAACAAAACCAAATGAATGCATTGTGTCTAGAAATTACATGCACAATGATAAATTGACAGACGGATAGGCTTAGATAGATAGAAAGATGACATTTTCATATCAACGTCACTGTGGCAAGTTAACTTACCAGGGGAACTCCAAAGGAAGCCAAATTGGCAATCACCCAAGAGGTTTCATCATACGTTCCTGGAAATAGAAATGGTAAAAGTCAGAAAACAGTCGGCTCCGCATAACCCTGATACTTTTAAGCCAGATAATTGGTTCTTATTACCCAAAGATTCGACTTTGGTAGAGCAACCACTAATTTAGCCAAATAAAACTCAATCCATAGGATTTGTTCAAGACAATTAAGATCACTCAGGTCAGACCAACGCACAGGAAATGTAGGCTGCTAGTATATCTCCTCTGAAAATCCATATCAAATCACCGTAAAGATCTTTGAGAAATAAATAAGTTATCATAACGTTGCATCTATGAAGATCGACTAAAACGATGTAATATCCTATCAAACTTTATAACGTGATGCATCATTATGAAAATTTATTTATTAGTTTATCTACGCAAAACGTTAGCAAACTTAAAAAAAAACATAATGCACCATGACTTACTGCCTGCCTGCAAAGGACAAAATTTAGCAAGAGACGGTTTGAGAGAATTGCAGTTGGCTCTGTCCTCGTAACCAATCATAGGATACTTTGTTTTTGGTAAATAAATGTCGAGGCTATAACGACCAGCTGATAAGCCAATATCTGAAACAGAGAAATAATAGGAGATATACAATTACGGCCTATTATTTTGAGTTGCACAGAAAGTTCAAGTTGGTTGACTTTTTCTAAATCAGAACGTTGTTGATGATTGGATTAACAAAGACGCGCGCGCGCGTGCGCGCGCGCGCGTCTGTCTGTCTGTTTACGTTTTCTGTGTGAATGCAAAATAAGAATGTGTAAAATGTGTTATTAAGTTGCTATATGACCCCATGTCCATAAACACACCATCAGTCTGCGTGGATCTACCCAACTCTGCGGGAACTGAGTGGCACGCCTCCTATTGTTTCCTGCGTATTCGTATAATCACCAGCGTTTTCTGTATTCTACAGAACGCCAGGAGAAGACGTGTAAATCTCTCCAACTGTTTGCATTCAGCGAGAGTCCTCGCGGAGTTGGGCCGATCCACGTAAACCGATGGTGTCGATGGGAATTGGGCCTATGTGTGCGTCCGGAAAATATCCGAACATTACATTCACGCACTTTGCGTTACACTAAGGCAACACGCACTCGCTTACTTTTAGCCTTTGTCACATAATACCTCCTCTCTCACACCCCCACCCTCCCTCTCTCCCTCCTGCATTTCAATTCCTCGCCACTCACCTGGCGTGATAGTCATGTGGAACGTTACGTTGTCACCATCACGCACTCTAGTGGGAGAAAACCATGCAGAAAATTTCTGGCCTGAAAAAAAAAGAAAAAGAAAAGCTTCCGCAATCTACCTACAAATAAGGATTCGCTAGTAAAACGATTATCTAACATTTCTTCCTGGTGCCGTAAAATTTAATGCGCATTTCGTCAATTTTCAGGTCACGAGTGGTCCACAGTTTCTAACCCCAACCCCAATAAGATTGTATATAATAATGATTTTAGTAGAAATTGAAGAAGCTAAAATATTTCATTCATTACCTCCACAACTTGTTACAACTCCCCTGTCGCCAGTTCCAGTTTTGCTGGGCTCAAATCGCCGGGATTCTCCCGCGGCTGCAGCCACTAAGCACAACCCCACCACAGCAAAGCTCAACATGATCAGCCCTTTGGTGTTCATTGCCTGTCAACAGAATAATACACACGTTCCTATTTTATTTATTTTTCTACAATTTATTATATACTCCAAACTTATTCATGTCACATAAATACCAGCACTGCCATGGCCAGGTGTTAACCCCCCCCCTTTATTTGTCCGCTGTCAGCTCTCTCTCTCTCTCTCTCTCTCTCTCTCTCTCTCTCTCTCTCTCTCTCTCTCTCTCTCTATATATATATATATATATATATATATATGCTGATGAAGACATTGTCACACCTAGCGTATAGTACTCACGTATGATAAAAAAACTGTACGTAGACAATTGCAACAGATTCGTTAGACTTACATCGTATACGCAGGCAAACGTTTGTGTGCCATCGCATACCCGGATGGAATGTTTTGAACATGTTCAAAAACTATTTCGTACGCTCCTTGTATCTTCGATCGTTTATTGAATACATTAGAAACAGGGTGACTTCATAAGTTCAAATTGTGTGTGTACATGTGTAACAGAGGTCACACGTTTTTATGTTAGGTTTGACAGAACCTTGAGCAGGTACATGCAGACCTACATCTAGACCGGGACAGCAGGTATATGTAGACCTACCCTTTTTTGGAATGCCAGCCATGGGAAACAAACCCGGCCTAGAGCTGCACCAGACGCTACCA